GCCCATAATTTGGCTTCAAAATTATTTATTTCAGTGTGGTTTCTATTACGGTAATTGACGAAAGTCAAAAAATGTTTCTCCTGCCTTAAAAAAGCATTTTAATTTTTAAAGTTGTAAAATTTTATGGCTAATGTGTTAGCTGGACTAAGCCTTGCTCAATCTCCCAAAAGAATAGAGCAGCTCACATGGTATAGACAGGCTGCCATCAGCTCATACCTTCCCTTTTGTCTCACGGTGCATACTTATATTTAAGAATGGCAAATATCTTAGGGGGAAAAAGTTTAGATTCAAAGAAAAATGGCAGCTGGCCGACGGAGGAAGACAAATCTGTCCTTGTAGGAAATTAAAATGGCTTTTTAAAAGCAAAGAGCAAACCTATTAAGAGCATCTTTTATTTTATCCTTTGTCAAAACTACTTTCTCTCTCTTCCATTTTGGTTTAAAAAACTTGTCTCCACTTCACAGAGAGTTCAGAGCCACACTTATTCCCTGGTTGGATTTTGTGACGCAAATGTAAACAAAATTCACCACCTTTGCCTTCCTTTGCTTTGCTTTGCTTCAGGGCCTCTACACAGTGCTAACATAGAAATCCTTTACTCCAATAGCAAAAAAAAAAAAATGGTGTTCTGTGTGAGCCTAGCATAACAATTTTTATTTTTTTTAAAGCTTGTATCTGAACAACAGATTGGACTGGAGATGCAAGTGTGAAGCCTTCTATAACATGGGGCGAAGAAGACATTACTTTGTGAGGAAGCTTAGATCCTTCAGTGTTTGGTGGAAAATGCTGATTCTTATATTAGTTTATTGTAGGGATGTCATCTCTTCTGCAATTATCTGTTGGGGAAACAGTATCAAATCGATTGATTTAAAGAAGCTCAACAAGCTGATGGAGAAGGCCAGCTATGTTCTTTTAACTAATCTAAAGATTCTGTATATGATTTTTACAAAGAACAGTTCTCCATAAAATGAAAAGCATAATGGTCACTCCAAACATATTTTTCAGAAGACTGTTAAACAACAGCATTGTCCTGTGTTCAAAGCTTTCCCCGATCCCCTGCGAGAAAAAGCTCTATGCGTGATTATTCCTGCCTATAGCTATTAACATATAAAAAAAAAAGAATTACTACATTTAATTTTTGTTCTGAATTCATTAAATATTTCTGAAGTACATTTAAAAAAATGTGCACAAACTATAATGTAGTTTAACAAGCCAAGAGGAAAGAGTGTGATTGTTTTAAACTTGCAAAACAAAACACATCCCCAAAGGGGGTTGACTTTATAACAGACATGTCAGGATGAGGAGTTGAGTTTTGATTTAATCCCATTGGAATTTTGATTAGAAAAATTGCAGGACAACAAACCTTGGGCCATGTAGCCAAAAAAGGGGGTTTGGTTTGACTCTATCCACAATTCAAACTTCAAACAACAATATATCTACATTCCTGCAATGGCTTTCTGACAATAAACCTTAAGGGATTTTAAAGTCTGTGCATCAATTGAATTACTGTAATAATTCAATTAACATTTAAATATCTGCTACTTTGATAGTAGTCGATTTTTTAAGTCTATAAAATGCACAGCAGGTCTATAAATCTAAAACTTTTGGAAAATTTCTTGTGAATAATTTATGATTGTATTATCTTTCCACATGTTTTCTTTTTAGCTAAAAGAAGCTTGTGCTGTCAATAAGATGTAAGCTGCTTACAATGAGGATCATATCAGCTGCTGGATTTTGTAAGCTTTATGTTCTTAATAACTAATAACCCTTCCTACAAACTGTCTGTTATTTTATATATTCAGTGTCCTTCTATATTACCGTCTTACCCTTAAGTCCCTGCAGGCAAACTGTGAAACAGCAAATATTCAAAGACAGCAGAGATTTCATTATTGAATCTCTGCAAAAGACTCCTGGCAATACATTTCACAAGATTGTCATACTTCCTCAAGGATTTTAGTTCTTTCAAGCTCATTTCCATCTGGAAATGGCCTCAGTCAATACTAATTTAGGTTTTATCAATAATTCAATTGCTCCTGATGATTGCCTCTCATTTAGGCCCCTGTGTAATATGGGATTGTGTATAGGCCTACTATAAGGCCATTTTGTTTGTCATCTACTGCCATTCAATCCCTTCTGACTTCCACTGTGTGTCAAGGGTTGTTTTTTTCTAATGCAAAACATTCTCAATAATTCTAGGAAACCTTGGGAGTGGGGTGTTCAGCTTTGTATCATTAAAGCTTGGATTGGAGGCTGGTATCAATTTGTAGCAAAGGTAGAGACTCAACATCACTGCTGGCACTATTGCCAATTTAGCATCTTTGTTGCTAGATTTATCAACTTTTCCGACCCCCTTGGTACGGTAAATGTTTTTTTTTAGCAAAAATGATTGACAACAAATTTGGTGACTTTTTTGTGTTAGAAGAGATTTTGGCAATGACACTGGTCACTCAGTAATTCTGTCTTCAGCGAGTGTTGCGTTGAGCCCCTCTTACCTCCAAAGGACTGACAGGGAGTCTGTCTCAACAGCCTCGTCAGACTCAGCAGCTCAAATAATTCTCAGTATTTGATTCCTACAACCCCTTAGTCACTTACTCATCTACTGTGTGCATATGCCAACTGCCTTTCAGTTCAATTTGATGTAAAATCTTAATGAAATTGGAAATATAAATATCTAAACTAATGTCTTGGTCGAAATATATATATCTATATATATATCTATATATATATAGATATATATATATAGTTTTCATGTTCTCCCTGAGCATGCGTGGGTTCTCTCCCAGTACTACAGCTTCCTCCCACAGTCCAAAAACATTACTGTTAGGTTAATTGGCTTCTTTTTGTCCTGTTTGTCTCTGTGTTGCCCTGCGATGGACTGGCAACCTATCCATGGTGTACCCCGCCTCTCGTCCGTAGACAGCTGGAGATAGGCACCAGCACCCCTCACTTGGGACTAGCATGACAGAAAATGGATGGATGTTTGGGTGTGTGTTTGTTTGTATTGTTTTTATCAAGCCTATGTGCACTACTACAAAAAGGGTACACTTCTGAATAACCAACGCTTATTTCTAGTATCTATTTTGGAAATCAAAGACCACAGAGAACCATGATTATACCACATTTCCCTGCTTTTTAAAAGCCAGAGTTTGATCTTAACAGGTGTGAAAGAAATAAAAAAGGATCCCAGCCTTTTCAAAACCCCTAAATAAATATTTTCTTTTTAGGTGGCTGATGTCTAACCAGAAGCTAAGAATAATAGCCAGAGAAGGAAAAGCGAGCACCAAATTATCTAAGAAATAATAGCTCTGAGAAAAAGTCTTGCCCAGCTTTTATTTATTTCCAGTAGGCTGTTTCTGTTTAGGGGGTGTCATGTTTTTGACATCCAGGTCATCCAGACCTTGAAAGATTTCTTTTTTTTTTTTTTGTCCATCATTACCAAAAAGTACATTTTCTAACCTTTTAAATACAGTATTTATGTCTTTTTTATAAAAAAAAAAACACATTTTCTTTTAATTCGAAAGAAAGAGTTTGAATCTTAGAGAAAGATCAATAAAATGAAGATGCTTATTTGCTTAAACTTTTGATTTGGTTCTGTCAACATTGAATTCCCATTATATTGTGTCTTCCTTCCACCTTCTGCATTTGCACCAAGAATGAATGTATACATGTTTGGGTTTTAAATTTCTCTGGCTGTACAGCAATAACAGTTAATTTTACACCAATAACAAATAAAACCTTCAGGCTTAATAGAGGGAGGGGTTATGGCTTTGCTTAGGTCTTCTCTGGAGCATAGCCAGTTTTACAATAGAAAACCGCTTCATCATTTAGAACATTACTTTAAATCTCATTCCGATCCAGAGTAAGGGAGGAGTTGGCTGAAAGGCCAGAAACAATGTTATCTGAAATTGAGTCCAGGTTTGGTGCATGAAAGTTCAAGCCATCATCAGGTAGAGATGGGATTGACTCGCAGAGATAAATGAGGCTGTGTAATTATGTGCCTTTATCAGGTCGAGGCAGACCTGATGTTGGAAGAAGTCATTGAGCTTGTGTCCTTGTCATATTTCCAAGAATGGCAGGTTAGCCAGTAGGTTCCTTGGTGGCCCTCTGGCACTGTGGCAGGAGAGGTGTCTTTTTAGGGTAGTTATGCTTTTTATAGAGCATTAAATCACTGATGCATGCTAGATGAGGCAGTTTAATGACACTGGAGGTTACACTGGTCTCCTTCACACTACTAAACCACATGAGAGCTACTCCTTTATGGCATCTTGTACTATATATATTTTTCCTAGATGCAGGAAGTACACTTAATTTCCAGGCTTCTTATTTCAAGCTGTATGCACTCACATGTATACAGATACAGTAAGGATGAGCATCACATTGTTGTTTTTCTGTGCCTCATTGCAGCTTTGGTCACACAAAAAATATCATTTCAGCTTATTTAATCCTTTAAAGCAGGACTCGTGTTTGAGTTTTCTTACATACAGGGCGTTTGCATCACATAGTTTGCATTTGATTTGATTTGGGAGCAAGCTTGAAAGTAGTATAAACACCACTATGCTGTTCCAGTTGTAAGCAGAGCAGAAACGTCTGCACCTTCTACTGTACAACTAGCTGAAAACAGGGTGTTAGAAACAATGACGTCACCGAAATTACTAGCACCTGACATTTGAACAATTAACACAGTTAAAAGTGATGTAGAACAGCCAAGTTTGGATTATTTCTTAGGTCATTTTGACAGAGGATATAAAATTCAGAAATAACAACTGTGGTTTTAACTGTGTTCGGTTTTTAATTGCTTTAAATTATAGATTTATAGAGAATGCCTGGTGACCGAAATCAGACAAATTTCAGTAAAAGTAGCCTAGATTGGTGAAAGGAGAGTTGAAAGTTAAAATAGCAGATACCTTTGCCATAGGAATGTTCCATACTAAAGGTTCATACATCCAAGTCAACTTTACTGTGTGCACTGATGACGTCATAAACGCTCACTCACCCAGCTTGATGTCATCATTAGACTGCAGTGGTGGGTGACAGTGGCAAAGCAGCTTTCCAGCAAGGGGGTCAGACTCGGCTTTTCGGTCGAATGGGAAAAGAGCGAAAAAGCTGATTGTTAGCGGGTGAACCTGGTTTTCAAAACCCCAGATTTTCAGTGGGAAAAGAGCTAGTAGGAAGCATATGAACCATTACATTACATTTATTGAAGCTAAATTTCTCTAATGGAAATGTTGCTTTATTAAGCCAAAAATAATATGAATACAGTATTAGTGTGTACATGGTGACAAGTAAAAAACAAAGAGACATCATGAGGCTTTAAAAGGTTGAACGAAAAACACCCTTTAGGATAAACACTGCTACTACAGTATATGAAGACTTAACGTTTGGTATTTTCTTTTCAATTTATCTAAGTTGGTCTATTAAGTGCTTAATCAGAACGCATACTGTCTGAAGGAATTCCCTGAAACAAAATTAAATCAAAACGTTTAATAAATAGAGAAAATGTTAGTATTATTAACAGAATGTGCTGTAGCTGCTTATGAACTAAACACAAAGTAAAGAATGGGACAGAACTAGGCAGAATGACAGAAAGGTACAGTAAAAAAAAACAAAGAAAAAATAAAACAAAAATTTTCAGAAGTGACTGTCTTTATTCAAATTTACTGTTTTGGGGGGAAGTAATTTGTGCATATCTATTTGTTCTCTTATCTATTATCACAAATTAAATTAGAAAATGAATGCTTACTTCCACTTATGGCCAAAACACATAACTGCAGCAGTCTTCTGCTTGTTCTCGCCGTTCACGCTCATACTTGACATGTTTCTGTTTTGTTTTGTCTTACCTGGAGTTGCCATTGATTGCCATCGATCTTGAAGATATTGCTATGATTGTTTACTAAGTTGGAAAGTTTAACATGGACGTGCTTGACATCACATCCGAGGAATAGAGGGGGAACTTCCAACCCAAAGTAAATTCAGGAAAATAGGTTACAGGCGTATAGATGCATTGGTGCCAAGTTACTGAAGTGTCAGTCTGCTCATCACCAAGTCACAAAAGCTATTTTGAAGATATTTTTCCATAAAAACATACAAAATGTGTTTTCAATAAAAATTTATGTATGACTATGCAAAACAAAATGACAATGGGCTGTGTAATAATCCTTTATGACTGAATTTACTGGCAAGAAGCGGAGGTTTCCCATCACCTCACCAACAGTTTGGCATTTCTAAATTTGCAAAAGAAGATATTCGTACCATACCAAGAAATATTTAGACAGTATGTCTCATACATTTTTATGAGAGAAGTAGAAAGTCAGATACAGATGCATTAAATCCATATTTAGTTTTCATCAAATGTCACAAACCACATGGGTTTTTTCTTCAGCACAGAAGTACTTCTCAAATTACCAATAGATTTTGAAAAACAAGACAATTCTCCTGGATAGATAAGCTGTTTAATAACCCCATTTTATTCCCGAGTATCAGTTGAGTGCTTAAACACTATTGAGATCAGCAAAAGCATGATTAGACAATAAGAGGCTAGTCTTTTCATAACTCGTTTTAGGGTCTCTTTCCATCGCAGCTCGTCTTTGAGATAATGTCCTATTTAATTAGAAATTGGAGATATCACATTGTTTTTTAATGAGAGAAACCCTTTAGCAGAGCAGATTAGGCATTTGAGAATCATGCACAAGAAAAAAAAGGCTTACAAGTACTTGAGGGACTCATACCAAAATGCATTTTCACTCAACTGCTCTTTATGTCCAATTCTCTATTCTCAAAATACTTTCATCAAATATGCTTTAACATCGACAGGGGAGAAACTTTAGTCCGATTTTATGCCGAAGATGTGTAAAATCCAAGATTCAATGATTCCCTGTTTATTTTAAAATGTATTCAGTATCTTACAGTGACCTACAAAAATGCTCAGATACAAAAATGCTTTGTTTTGTACCTTTTTGTTCTTTTGCTCTTCATTTTCTGTGGCCATCTGTAGGGTGGAGCAGAAATCAAATAGCATTTACTTGGGGAGAACAAGCACTGAGCCGTGAAAGCTGTTTCCTGTAGATTTTCAGCAGGTTACTAATTCCTCCATCACCCCAGTTACACACTGAGTGACTTTGACCTTTTACTCTGTCAGTGTCACAAGATGTGGAAATTTAAAAATACACACCTCTATAAAACGAAAGGTTGCAAAGTGATACGATAAAAATGCGTTGTTTTTTGCTTTGTCCCTTTAGTCCGCAGTTAAGCCATCACATGGCCTCAAGTAAATGGGAACCCAGTGTCCTGTTGACTTGTTAGCTAGCACAGATTAATGTATGATATTTCCTAAGAGGAAATTTTTATTTAATTTTTAGGTATTTTTAGTTGTTGTATAAAGTGAGCAGAGCAAGCAGCTATCACAAGCCAGTTGCATGCTTTGGAAAGGCAAGAATTGTAGTTTGAACACTTATTTATGACAGTGTTTGTCATCCTAAATAAAAGATGTGATGAATTAACCTTGAGTTAATTCTTTGACAGTAGCCAGTGTTGTGTTTTTCAGCGCTTTCCGACTCTTTAAGGTTTGATTGATTTGACTGTGTTATGTGGAGACGGATAAGAAGATGTTGACAAGTTACCAACGCAGAGATATCATGACTACATCTTTAAGGTACCTTTTATTTTTTATGGTTCTATTTTCTTGCTCAGATGCATATGTTTTGTTTTTTGAAAAAAAAAAATACTGCAATTCCTACATTTAGTAATAAAACTTAAAAAAACAGCAGGTTTTATTCATTTTAGAACAGAATAGAACAGAATAGAATAGAATAGAATAGAATAGAATAGAATAGAATAGAATATCCCTTTATTGCCCCACAATGGGGAAAGTCTGGTGTTTTTTTTATAAGCAAAGGGAATAAAACTAGAGCAGGAAATTTCAACCAATCAGACAGTGCTTTTTTTTGCATACCTTAGATCTTTATAAGAGGAAATCGATGGCTTTTTTGTTAAAAGATGTCCAGTTCTTGATACATACAAGGCAAAATTAAACAAGCAGCCCTTTTGTCCATCTGCTAGCAGCTTCCTATCTGCTAAAAATAAATAAACATTTAACAAAACAATTGATGGTGGTCTATGCCTCTATTTCTAGTATAAATTTGGCAAAACATTAAAAATCCTATATCATGCAAAAACAACCTTTTGAGTTTTTGACTATATTTTAATTATATTTATTCATGGAAATCATGTACAGAACAAATTGTTTGACTAATTTATGTCGGAGTAATCCTTATTACTTCTGCCCTCTGAAGAGGGGCTTCCTTAGAAAACTTTGAATCAGTTTGACTGTATGATCTGGTTGAATTGTCTCTGTAAACTGCCTTGAGTTCACATGTGTTGATAATTGGCATTATAAATAAACTGATATGAACTAAATTGAAGAACAGCCCCTTCCTTCTTCTCCTTCAGTGCCTAATCTGTACAGTGACAGCAACTGTTCTTTTAGCTGAGGTCTAATTCACACAAATGCAGAAGTGGCAGAAATGGGAGTCCCCCACACAGGGAGAGATCGCTTGAAAGAAACCGTCTGTAATTAGTTTGACCCTCTGACCTACAAGCAGGATGATCACTCAGGAAAGGAATCATCTTAGTAAGGTTTATTGAATATGATGCGAAATGTATTCTGCAATGATACTGTAGTTGTAACTGAAAATACATAAAATACAAGTTTTGTATTAGATTCGATTATCTCCAACAGGCACCATAAAGGTTAATCCATTTTAGGAATGATGATTTAGCAGATGTGCACAAAACCTCTAATTTTTTCTTTTATAGACTCAAATACTTAATTATCTGTCCTAAATCTGATGGTAAGTATTTGAATTAATGGTACTTGAGATTACAACCTAAAAGGAAAAAAAAACTGTTACCTTGATGCTATTGTCATAATTCAAGATTTCTGTCAGAGTGTCTGAATGCTGGGTGCTAATAGGCAGTGAGGTATTATCAGTGTATATGCCCCACAGGCTCTAAAACGTCAATGACAGCATTGTGACTTGAATAAGAAATGTCCTGAGAGGAGCATGGCTTAAGCCATCAAACTGTGATCATTTGTGGTTCCAGGCAGCGGATGGATAATGCAGGGCAACGGTTCCTGACAAGGTGCTGACGGATGCCTAGCCTCACCCCACAACCCATCTCTGTGATTTGTCACCTCGCTGACATTCCTGTGTCCCTGCTCAACCGTGGAAAGACACATGAGTGATGCATGTCTCCAAAGAGTAATAACTGGTAAGTCTGGAAAGTTACTAGAAGCAGGTTGCGATTCATCACAGGACAAGATTCATTCAACACATTCTGAAATCTCTCATACGGGTTGTTGACTTTTTTTTTCATTTATGTATTTTTTTTATATTTTTGATAGAACATTTTACATGAACAGAATGGAAAAAATATCCTTACTATTTTTGTATTGTCCAAGTGTTTATAATGTTATGCATTTTCCGCTGTTGTGCTTTTTACACAGTAGTACAACAAGATGTTTCTTTAACTGGTAAATTTGTTGGGCTTTCCGCTTTGGTAATCAGTCTGCAATCAACTTTAAACTTAAATGTTGTTATTCTGGCTTGTCTTTTGCAGTTTTAATACAGCAATACCATAACAAAATGGTTATTTGGACAGTTGGCTCATCTAGGTATAATTGACAAACCACTGCTGTCAGAAATATTTAAAATAGCTAAATTTCACATTTATTTTATAAAAGGAAGAATGTTGCAGTATTATTTCAGCCAGCAGATCTGCTGCATAAATAGGTGGGCAGGGATATTGCTCAACCATTCTGCACCACTTTCATGTATTAAATTTAAAGCTAGCTAATTCCCTATGTTTTTTTAATAGTTTTATTCTGTGTTTTGACTTTGTTTCTCCCATTGTGTTTTTATCTTTTGTACAGTGACATTGAGTCACCAGAAAGGCGCCTTTGAAATAAAATTTATTATTATTATTATTATTATTATTATTATTATTATTATTATTATTATTATTATTATTATTATTATTATTATTATTATTATTATTATTATTATTATTATTATTATTATTATTATTATTATGTCCACACCTGCTCCCAATCAGTTGATCACTCCTTTGTGCTGTTTGACATTTATACTCCTCCTTTGCAGTTACAGCTTGCTGGATTCTCTTCACTCCTTCACTCCCTCCTTAACCTGTGTGTTCCCCTAGTTTGGTTCCTTGATCTGTTATTTTTGGATTTATGCTTCTGTTGCCACTATTCCTTATTAATTCTGCAAGAAACCACCTCAGCTTCCGTCTTAGCATTTGGGACATCTAAAAACCTCCACACAACCTGACATACTCACTCTTTATTAATTGTACTCCAAATAAAAATCATCTATTTCAGGTGTGGGCATATGTTAGATGGCAACTTCATCATACAAGCTAGAAAAAATACTGACCAGTAAAGTGCGAAATATGGACACTGAAAATATGAGCCACAATTTATTAGAGTTCTTTGTAGTCCTTTATCAATAAGCAGCACAAGTATATTTCATTTACTTCTCATTTTGCTTTATGAGGCTTTAATGAAAATTGGCACATACATTATCTTTTCATAATTCTTTCTACCCACTGGTTACCATTAAGAATAATCCATGTCTCCGGTTAAAACAAGTTAGAATGTTATACAAATCAAAAATTCCTGATTTTAATTAAAAGTTTTCTCTTAGAGAGAAACATTTGGACAAAAAATAAAATTGTATTTTAAAAAATGCAAGTTAACTTATCAAGTTGTACAAAATTTAGAATTGATTCTAATATTAAATATGATTGGTACATGATCTTACATGAAATGCATAATTTTTTTTTTTTTTTTTTACAGTTTTAGCGCAAAGCATTTCATTCTTCTTTGTATATTCTACAGTTTTCAGGAGTCGTCATTCAGAATTTTTAATTTTAAAATGTCCTCCTGTCTTTATTTGTTCACCTGAAATATAAGTATATAGTCTTGCTAGCATTTGACATGTTTTTTGTACTCTTTGAAAGATTCCACCTTTACTGACCCAACGTTTAAAAATGTAACACCGCAGTAAGTTAAAAACTTAAAAACAAATTTATTTCACAACAGAAATCAGTCTAAAATATGCATAAATTGAATAGACACAAAACCAGTGTTAATATTATCTCAAACTTAAACAGACAAGTTTTAACATGTATTGTGGTTAGATTCAGATTTCACAATAACTAAACTGTGAGATTTTGGAGCACAAGATATCATTACACCCCTAATGAATAATTAAGACATTTCCCCCCCCCCCCCATCAAACTAACTGGTCTTCAAGTGGACTTGTCTCCTTCTCCACTCTGATAACTTCTCCACTCACTCTGGCCCGTTAAGATTAGATTTGAATTTATGAAGATTGCCTTACCTGGTGCACTGCTCTAATCTATGCTGGTGTTGTATTTCACATTTTGGCCCTCATTTCCAATGCAGTCAAGAGGACCCGTATTTCACTGTGACAATGTAATCACAGGTCCACATTAAAAAGTCATTATTGTTTAAAATCGTGGGCTTGACTGAGAAAACACTAAGCTGTCTCTCCCCATTCACATGGATGCCTACCCAGGAGCAGAGGCCACTGTGATTTAAATGCACGCTTACAACCTTATTGATCACACAGGGGCTTGAGCACATACCACAGGGTAATATCATTGTCTACTGGATCCACTAGTTCCTTTTGTGCTGATTAGCAATAATCTGTGTAACAAGCTTTGATCCCTGCAGATTAGCAAACGGAAAAAAAATACATGCTCATTCTGAAATCTCTGACATCCCAAAATTCATCTTCACTTATTTACCTAATGATTAGAGTGCAGTTAGGTTCATTTATATTACTCCACTTTTGATAAAAGCTTTAATTAATTAATCAGGTCAGATTGCGGGATGTCTGAACTGATGGATCTAATTACTAGTGTGCGTCCTGAGTGGGAAAAATAGCTAAACAAGCTAAAACATTGTTAACACATGCATGTTTAATGTGCATTGTCTTTTCCTGCTCTTGGCTTTTATTTATTCCAGAGAATTTCATCAGGTTTCAAGCATTTCATGTTAAATTTATTGCATATGTTTAAACAAGCCTGCAAAAGTGCTCAGCATATTATTTTTTTAAGCTGACAGCTCGGCACAGGAGAGTTCTCTGACCCTTGTTTTTTACCAAACAAAAAAAAGAGAATTTAAAACACTCGTAAACAAAGGCATCTTGATTTTTGTAATGGAAAAGGGAAAAATATTATAGCAAATTCAAGTAAACCAGTGGTTGCACTGATATAGTTTTGCCCCATCTTGACCTTATCAGGATGCATTCATTGGCTGAGCCATTATCGGTCTCACTCTTCACTCGGACTTTAATCAGCATGATTTCAGCAAGGATCAATAACTTCTTTTCATGTCTCACACCATTCACATTTTTCGACAAATCAATACAGCAAGAGGCATTTATTCTTACTTCCCAAACACAAATGTCATCTTTCAGCTATTACTGGCTTCTATCAAGAAGCCAAAGAGTGAAAAGGCATCCTCTTCCCTTTATTTTTACCTTTCCATGAAATAGATGCCAAATTTTGGTAAGCATGTTAAAACTACAAAGAGCATTCTTTTTAACAATGCTTTATTGAACATTTCTTTTAACAGTCACATCGAATATTATTCTATCATTTGACAGTTGTAAGCAGCTCAGACAGAAATCTTGCAGTTGCATTTAATAAGTAGTATGAACAATCACAAAAAAATAAGGAGTTCAAGCATCAAGACCTGCTGTGTAAATATCACTCAAGCCAAAGAGAACCCATAGCGATATCACCAGTCCTGCGATTAATTTACTATGATCTGAACTATAAATTGTTTGATATATTGTGATAATCTACAGCAGGCATCCACAAAGTCGGTCCTCGAGGGCCGGTGTCCTGCAGGTTTTAGAGGTTTCCTTGCTCCGACACAGCTGATTATAATCGAAAGCTGATTAACAGCTTTTGCTCAACTGCAATTATAATAATCAGCAGTGCAAAAGCAAGGAAACATCTAAAACCTGCAGGACAGCGGCCACAATTTGGGGATGCCTGATCTACAGTATATGCAAATCTTCTATTATTCATTTAAATGTTAAATAGTTAAAAACTTATTGTAAGTTGGGATAATGTGATGACCATTGGATGTTTGAGTGTTTCAGTTTTTCTGTACTTTTTCTTTTTCTCCCTGTTTATGTGTAATACTTGTATTGTTATCCTTTGATAGATTTCTGTGTTTTAATCTGTCTTCCTCTGTTTATTATTCAGTCTTAGCATCTTGCTTAAATTCTCCTTAGCTGTTCTCATTACCATCTGTTTGCTCTCACTTGTTCTCCATGCTTTTTTCTCTTCACTTCATCCTGTGTATAAGCTCTAGTTTCCTGTGCTGCATTTTCTGTATTAACTAACCCTGTGCTCAACAGCAACACCCAACGTCAGCTTGATGCAGAACAATTCACAATAAATGCTTCAGATAAAATTCAATGCATTGATAAGACAGAGTTATTTGATTTCTAACAAATATTGAGATCAGTTTAAATATGAACATTAAAATCATTCAAACTAACTAGTGGTCATATCAATATCTATTGAAAAGAGCCGATTTAAAAAAAAAAAAAGCCTTAGAAGGTCATATATAAACATGAAGCCCTATTCTAACTATTAAAAATGTAGGTTCTTCCCTCCACAAAGGCACTTTGCAGTGTCAGAAAAATGCTAATCCAGCACAACTCAAAGGGGATTGGTCCGGCTTTGTTTATGTGGGCGCGTTGTTTTCCTCTAGATTTATGATCATTGTGTCTTGTTGGCAGGAGCTTGTGTGATTACTACTTACACTCTGATTTATACCTTACTTTTAATTATCTGAGCAGGTCTGTGGGGTCCTCTGCCAGTACATCCCTTCTTTGGAGACTGTGAGGGTGACAGGAGCTCCTCTAGTTTTCACCCATCTTTTTGAACTTCTGACTGCAGAATAAGTCTCACAGGTGGACCTGTTTATTCTACTAGCACCAACTCATCCCCTGGGCAAACCAGAAATACAGCTTGGACATTCATCACAGTTATGGAATCTGAAAGGAGACTTTAGGGAAACATGAAGATGGCGTCAGCTGGTCATCCAGCTCTTGAATAACACTTTCAACCCTCCTTTCAGTTATATGCTGTAGTTGGTAGAGCCAAGTTATATCTATAAGAGAGCCTATTATGGCTATTTTTCCAGTTAATAGAATAATCTGCTTTACAAATTACATCAGGCAAGTCAGATATGAGAAATGAACTATTGATCCCTCTGTAGTCATTAGCAGTCAGTTGGAATACATGAACACAAGATCTGTTAAATCAATTAATGCATTTACAAACCTCTTAATTCTGAAATATACTTGGATACAAAGGCCCAAACCGTCGGGCTTTCATCATTATAAGCAACATTCAAAGGATTTATTGCATAATCTTTAAGTGATTGCAATGCAGCATATTGTTTATTACATAGGATCGAAAAAGTGTGGCATTAAATTCAAAAGAATCTATAGACTAAAACAGAAACCTGTCATTATTGACACTCCGTCAGGTTAAATCCTGAATGAAAAATTAGCATGCATATACAAATACATTTGTATTTTTTTGTTCCATAAATTACAGACCTCATAACCTAGTGCTTTAAAGGGGCCTTGTCAGTTTTTTTTGTTTGTTTTTTCTCTTTTATGTAAATGCCAGTAACTCTCTCTGGTTGCATTACATACAATATGCTGGTGAAGATTCTCAGCCATCCAGGTCATACAACAAAAACACTTTTCCAAGTTTGAAGATATTTAGCTTACCATCCAGGAAGCTTTTTCAATTCAAAATGTAAGAATTAGCGTTGCTTTATAGAGTGGCCCAATAAAGCCTTGTTTTGGCTTAGAAAACATGCAAATTGAACCAGAAGACCAGGTCTGCCCCTTAGGAATGGAGAGTGGTTGAGGTATTTCTTAGCCTGCAATACCCGATAATGGTCTATGCCCCCCTTTTAAGAGGCATGGACCAGTTGTTATTTCTGTGTTTTACACTACGTATTTGGTCAATTTGTTCATTAATACAGTCCTTCCTCAATATTTACAATAATAAAATAGGTACTGTACAGCGCATGAGCACAGGGAGTAAAAAAGGAAGTAGCCCATTTTTTTAAACCTCGGTGTTGTATCTGTTTAGTGGTGACACCAGCCAGAAACCAAGAACTTCTTTCTGTTGGGATCATTGGAGGGTCAAACCACATATTCAGATAAAATACTGCCATCTGCTGTGGCTGGACTGCTGGGCAGAGTGTCAACAAACCAAATTTATATTCCTGTAAATTACCACGTTCCCCTTCAAAGTCTTATAAATGCCGTGTGTAATAAAGAAATAATTTTTTTCAGTGATACAATTACCCTATTTGCATGTTGTGATAATTTTTTTATCAGCCTATAAAAAAAAACAAGAAACATAAAATACATCTGCATTGTTATATAGTCAAGCACATAGTATTTTTAAAGGCAACTGATGTGACAGAAAGACATTAAAAAGAGTGCTGCTGTGTTGAGGGAAATAGAGAAATTCCCACATTTGATTTTGTTCCTTTAATTACGTGCACAAGCGTTACCACTTTTTACACTATCTGTGTCATGATCTTGGTGCTGGTGGCTGGCTTAATTGCTCATTCCATTCACCTGTCTCACTCTGCCCAGTTGCTCATTACTGCTCATCTAATCCACCTGTTTCCAGCTCTTATTATGCTGCCTGTTTTCCAGCCATCAGTGCCAGATTATTTGGGCTTAGTGTAAGAGGTATCTAGCGTACCCTGTAGTGCTGTTTGACTGCCTGATCCTGACCTATTTCTGCGCCTGGATTCCTAAGTTTTTTATTTGCCCCTGTTCAGGTCTGGTTCTGCCTGTTACCTGTATCCAGACTGCTCTTTGGACTCTACCTGTTAGCAACCTTGGATCTGTCCCCAGATCCTGGCTTGGATTATCCCCTTGGTACCTCTGCATCTCTCTGATCCTCTGGTTTGGACCCCTGCTTTGTTACCTGCTCAGGATTCAGCCTCTGGACCCTTCTGCTCTTCAGCGTCTGCTGGCTTCTGCCTTACAGGCTGCTCTGCCTCGCTCCTGGAACTTTCTGGGTGGCTTCCTCTGCATGTTGTGGAGAAGTCATCCGACGGGTTCCCACTCCTTCCTCTCTAGAGGGACTGAACTTATAACCAGATTAGTGATTCAGATTTTGGGTCCATTTGTTTGAGCCGTGACAACCTGTGCAGATTGCTGGGTTCCAAGAATCAACACCACACAGAACAGAGCCATGCTTTTACCATTTCATTAATAATCTGTGTTGGGCCCATATTCTCTGCATTGGTAGGTTCCTGTATATGATAGTAGTAGATGGTGAAAATCTTGACAAAGACACAATTCTTTGCACCATCAACTTTCACCAGGCACAAAATAATTAACTAGGCCTAGATAACTAGGCAATTTAGATAAAACTGCATGCATGAA